TCCATTCCTGGCCACATTATACATCAGTGTCGAGCAATATCCATACCGGACCTGAGCCCTCACTTCATATAACCGCACTAACCAACGTGGTCAAACAACCCATATGAGCGACACGGCACGGGAAGGCCTTCATCCAAACAGGCTGTGGATAACGAATTTTAATCATGAGCAGCAGCAGCGGCATCGCCATCATCAGCAGCGAGTAAATGGACACGCAGGTGAGGAGGCGATGAAGAGGGGAGGCCTTACCACAGGTAGCGTTAGCCAGGTGGCAACGATGCGGTCGGTGAGCCAGCGGTACCAGGGCGGGTTGACGAGCAGCAGAGGCAGGAAGGGTCCCAGCATGAACACGCTACCCAGGAAGCTGCCCAGGAAGAGCATGGTGGCAAAGTACACGCCGCCCAGCGACACCTGCATGGCGGCCCCCTCTGCCGTCCACCACTCCCCTTGTTGTTGGTCACTCCTCTACTCTGTGCCTTGTCGACTTGTCCACTCTCTGAGACACTCGTCCACCCCGTGTCTTACTTGGTTGTCCAATCTCCTGACCTCCCATTCACTCTGCCGCTCAATCGCTTGGCTCTCCTCCGTGTCTGTGTACAAATTTTGGCACAATGAAGGCAAACATGAGACCAAAAGTTGTCCATCATATGAGAGCACTGTATTGTGCTATGATTAGTGTTAATCATTACTATATTACGATTATTACAGGTATGATATACAATGTGAAATTCTATATTCCTATGGTGGGGCCAAGTTACATTAAATTACTCGCAACAGTCAACTTCCTTCCATCGAGCAATGCAGTCTCACCAGGTGGTGCTCATGATACACACACTGGAAGTATAATGATTCATGATTATTCTCTATTGATGATGGTTATGCGGATGACAATTATGATATATAACAATGCATGGTAATGATGAAGATGATGGGTATTAAGCTGCTGCTGCTGCTGCCAATGATGAGCGGACGCTGTATGAAGATGTGAACTCAGGTTCTCATGTCTGGGCGTTCTCCTGCTCTACAATCCACATTTGTCCCACATATCCCACTTTGCAACGCTTCTGCACTATTCTATAGTAGGTAAACCACAACTCCAGCGCACATCTGACCTGATAAAAAAAAACACCCAAGCGAGAATTATACAACCACCTGGCAATCAGAGCAGAGGCCCTCAGATTAACTCGCAATCGGCTCAACAGTCCAAATTTAGTCCTTCCACCATTAATAGAGAGAGCCGCATTCGACAGCTGCTTCATTTGCTCACCGAGATTGGAGGAGTGAAACCAGGCTTGTGGCCATGGGCAGACGCCACGGTGCCCCCCCCCACCTCCCCCCACGCTACACACCAGTAGCTGATTGCACAAACTACCTTAAGTAATTGTTTTCTCTCGATTTATACCGAGTTACACACCAAAGTCAAGTGGAATTCCACCGAAGACGTTGTACATCTACAGCCATTTTTGCTAAGCCACTGCTGCACGAGGGTCTCTCTCCCCCAAACCGTGTGGGCTATTTGACCATACTTCCCCATGCTGGTCAGTGCGGGTTAGTTCGTGGAGGGGAGGCCATGTATAGGAACATCGAAGTACAGTACAACAATGCATCCTGCTGTACTGCCCTCTTTGGTGCCTCGAGCATAGCACTGCCCCGAGACGCCTATGACAACCTATTGCACGTGGTGGTCAACGATGCAACCCACCTAATCCAAGCACTACCCAGGCTAAAACCTGCTACGCTTTTGAGCTCTGATGACACTGAGCTCATTCCCAGCGATTTGGTTTCAAGCCTCGGGTCTTTAATGCAACCGTAACTGGCAGAAAATGATTTCCAACGCACGATTCAGAGCCTTCTGGTCTCAGCGAGCTATCAAAGTGAAAATGGTTGCCTGCTTAAAACAAACATTGGGTGGCACTCATCTCCTATTCCTCAGCCCGTTGTGTGTAATTCCACATTCCTACGATGGCAAAGTACTTGTATATGATGTCTCCAGCTTATGCTTGTCCCTCGATCCATGTGTTCCTCTTTTCCATCTTTTAGTGCAACTGCAAGCATGCACTTCGCTTATTGTTCAATTTTATTTGTCAATATCAATGTTCCTGATCCATGTCATAGCACGTACTACACACCGATTAAAAATTTGGTCAGTTATGCCACTTGGTATGTGTTGCTTTACAGTTTTTCACAAGGACTCCAACATGATTGGCATCTTCTCGTTATATAATTTTGATTCCGCTCTGCCTTTAATAACTGCCCAAGGTATACATACCCCTGCAGTGTTTTCCAGTCGTGTCTCTTCAACAAACATCTTCGATGCTTAAGCAAACTTATGTTTTTACTCATATTTAGCTTTTGATTTAAAGCTTTCGTGACTGCAGGGATTCATATTATTGGTTCTTTCGGCGAAGTCACGTAGAAGGGAAACAATAAAATAATAAAGATATAAAATAATAAAATTCTCACGACGTTTCGACTGCAACACAAGCAATCATCATCAGGTGTGAAAACCACAGCAAGAAAATTTGTTTCAATGATATTGTATAGTATGTCGCAAGCTCCATTAACACGACTGGCACATGAACTTCAGCGTATCGACAGATGTACAAAGGTCAATCGTCACATACACACACTGTACACGTGTCCAATTTCCATAATTAACAAAAGGGTCTCTTTCACCACCCTTAAATAACGTAGTGTATGTCCATCCAGCAATGGGCCTTCTGGATCCATGGTTTACAGCAGCATTGGTCAAGCAAAAAAAACAACTCCTGTACCGATTTAGAATTTCTGAGCACTCATCAGCAGTGGAGCCTGTTAAACAATTTCTGTTGATTTTCCTGGTGTTAAAGGCAAGGCATGAGCCCCCTCCACAGACACTTGAACACCTTTGGGGCCAATACAATGTGTTTGTTGGTGGTGACACAGGCCCTAGTCTGCTTTCACACAGCTATTTGTCAGTTATAATGTATTACTGCACCAACAATCCATCAAAACAAAGTTTAATAAATTTATTCAGCACCATTATATAGTAACATCTACAAACCCACTCAAATTACAAACGTTCTACATATTTACCTAATCTTGAAGGAATTATTGCAATGAACAATCATTACTCAATCCACTACTGGATTAAGGCATCCCCACATGATGGGAGACTCGTGGGATTTTGGCCATACTTCACCAGACTGGTCAGTGCAGGTTGATAGAGGTGGGGGGGGGGGTGAAGGACAGTCACTGATTCGTGTATCATCGCCGATCTTAGTCACGGTCAGGAATCGAATTATTGTTGACGAGTTCACAGTACAGCACACGTTAACCACTGTGACACTGCATATACGCTTTCACTCTTTATGGATACCTACAGATCAAGACTCTCGGCACACCACATCTATTTTGCGCATGGATGCGGTTCGCAGCCACATGCCTACTGAATTGTACCACGGACCCGGAAAACATTCAGCGAGCAAAATGTCCTGATATAAATTATATTTCCACTCCTATTGCTCCATTATCATATTATAGATATATCCATAATTGTTTTTCTGTGTTGTAAACACTATCAACCCACCATGTGAGTCGCACAGCAATGGCGTGTAATTGAAATGCAAAAACACCCGTTCAAATGACAATATAGGCCATAGTATTGGGTATATTTCATAGCACGCCCTCATGGTAATTAAAATTACAAACACGTTACAGAAAACCCAATAAATAGCGCACGACACAGCGTACAAATCACGCACACTCGTACAAACAAAACATGTTATTACAAAAGGACATTAAATGTACTGTAAACAGCACGCGCATATGCAGCCTAATTACTGTATAAATCGCCGACCATAAACACAAATAGCAAAATATAAGGCGAAAAATACCTTTAAATAATTAGTCTTGTAGTTTTTTCACCCAATTTTCAAGGTCACAAGATTAAGTATCCTTCCAGACGTTTTTGGACAGCAGTGCAGCCGCTGTTAGTGATCAACACAAGTGTTCTACGTTTACATATTATTTTAAGTTAATTATATTATTAACGCTGCAATTTTAATTAACTTTTTTTTTCCCAAAGGCACTTCAACCTGCTCTGGTCCACATATTTTATTCCAACATTGTGTGGGTTCATGACAGTTTCTCCAGTAACATATTAGATTAGAATTGAGCCACTCCAACATCTTGCAATGTGGTTGTGAATACCTTTGGCGAGAGCCGCGTACCTCTCCCCTTAATATGTATTTTGGTACTTAACTGATTCAACATTTAGCGTGGCTGTGCCGTTTTTGCAAACGTTATTTCAATTACTTCTAAATACATTGTTTGTGCGTGCCTCTGTTTGTGAGCAGCTGGGATAAATGCATCAATTTCCAGCAAGTCAAATGCCTCCTCCATTAGGTAGATAAACCTTTCCCAAACCCAACTCTGCTGCCAACGATCCCCGCAAAACATGTTTTTTTTTCTTTTTAATGACACAATACGTGCCATACGATACGTCAAATGTTCAACGCCAACACACCTTAGTTTTTAAACGCGTTCACGGTCCGAACTGGCCAAATACATGCTAAACTACACTCCACGCCAATAACAAACGATACAGAGTTCACCCCACCGACCGCCTGACAAAAATCGTCTCGCGTGCTCACAGCCACCCTCACCCGTCTCAAGATGCGAGCAGGGTCGGCCCTCGGATGAACTTTAAAACGTTAACACCGTAAACATTATTACCGTTGCGCAACTGCGACAACAATAGTTAAGCACTGCGAAGGGGAACGCGCATCCGCCCTGCGATGAACGCCCGTGGATTTTTTGACAACCGGAACCAACAATCGGTCGAGGAGGTGGTGGGGGGGGGCGCCACATTTTTGTTCCGCGCGGTGTTGATGGCGCGGGCGGGCGGGGCGGGGCGGAAGCGGCGCGTGACAGAAGCAGTGTTTCCGTTTCCTCCGGACGATTTGCTTACGGGATCGCTTCCGGGTCTTATCGGTTTCCCGTCTTATTATTGGCGCGCGCGCGTGTGTATGTGGAGAAGGGCGGGGCATGCATCACGTGTCTCATCGATTTCCGGTTCCGGCTTCACCATACCGTGCCCCACCCACCACAACGCTACTTGCCCCGTGGTGCGTATCGCGTGAGCAAGGCGCCGCGCTGTTACAACGTTATAATTGTCACGGCGAATTTTAAGGGTCCATTATTCTTTCTTTCGTTCCAATTCAGTGTGCGCGCGCGCGCGCGCGTGTGTGTGTGTGTGTATTTTTTTTAGATGCTGCTGAACCGCGTGGTGAGACGCGCCGGGCTGGCGAGGGCGATCGCTTGGTGCGGCCCACAGGCCAGCAGGGAGAAGCACATGTCCCGTGCGTGTTGACACCGCGTTGCGAGTGCGGGTCGGGTTTCACGGTCTCCGCTTGAGAGATTATCCCCCTTTCCCCCCCGCATTTAGCCTCAGTAGTCAACAACGTTGTTCGGTGATGGTGCGAAGGGGCGTGGCGCAAGGGCGCTGCGACGTTTCGGGCAATGGCCCTTTCGTGCTGTGCCAACAATCTCACCTACGCTTGACGCGAAGCGATCTCTCTCTCTGTCCTGCTCCCTCCTTTTGGCTGTCATTTGGGCACCAGTCTTGCCCGTTAGCCGTCAACCTTCCTAATGATGTGTTGTGATCAAACCAACTCTCCTTTTTCATAAATATTCTCTCCAATTTGTGTTTCTCGGATTAGCGTTTTCCTCTTTAATTCCACGCTTGCTTTTTTTCTGTACTTTTTTAATTCCAGTTTATTTGCCAGTCATGTTTACGATCAATTTCACGAATGTCAACATACTTAATATATATGTCGGTCATAGTAACGCCATGCAAAATTATACATGACAGTCCATGCAAGGATGTAAGCATTTAACACGTAGGCTTACGCGACCTATATAATCCATAATGCAAAAACGTCGTACCCAGATTGTAAATGTTGTGACTTGGCTCTCCAACACACCGGTGTGCTGTACTAGTGACGAATTGGCACGTTCTGTTTACGTGACAACCCTTATTAGTTGGCTGTGTCGGGTGGTGGCGGGTTTTAACGACACATTTACGCGATCTAACCCCCCCCCCCACCCCTCTATTATGGATTGTCACCGATGGAACTGTATCGTGTGTGAGTAGGTGTGATGGCATCGGAGTTAATTTGTGCGGTTTTTAAAAAAATGGAAGTCATTCGGTAATTGTGGGCTAGAGGGTGAGTGGGAATGTAGTGCACATACCTCTTGTAAAGATGGTCCATTATAGACAACATTTTTTGCGTAAGTTGTGTTGCTATTAGAGACCTTATCCAAAATCTGTTATCTGCTGAATGTTTTCATTTTCGTCAGGATTTAATTTTAATGAATATCCACTCATATGTTTTGGTTCTTTCGGTAAAGTCACGTAGAAGGGAAATAATAAAAATAAAACATATGATAAAATTCTCACGACGTTTCGGCCACAACCCAAGCAGGACGGCTGCTTGCGTAGTGCAGTGCACTAACCATCGCGCTAGAGTTCCCGTTTGAAGGAAGATGTAACCCAAACAATGTTTAGTTAATAAATTCCTAGTCAGCGTCCGGGGGAGTCCAACAAGAGTTTGAAACTTTGTTCGTAAAAAAATATATAATTTAAAGTTTTAGTTGTGCTCACCTTTATTAAGGATATGGCTCTACTCTCGTACATTTAAATACCTAATTGCCCTCCATTGTTGGCTGCACGGTGGCGACACCACTGGTGAGCATTATGGCTGCACGGATGAAACTTTTAAGTAAATTTTTATTATTATTAACAAACGTTGAAAATTATGTTGTACAGCCCAGAAGTATATTTAGAACAGGTGAGGAGACAACCTGTCATGTGATATTTTGCGGCCGCAGCCATTTGATTTAATGATCACTGTAAACATCTGAGCTGCATTTCGATTTAAAGCTTTCGTGACTGCAGGGATTCATCTTCTTGGTTCTTTCGGTAAAGTCACGTAGAATTGAAATTAAATAATACAAATAAATCATAATATGTTTAATTTGTATTATTTTATTTCAGAAGATGAATCTGAGCTACACTAATTGGGCACTAGGACTTACTTTTTTGAACAAGTTTGACCGAGGTCTTTGTTAATGTGTGGCCCGCAAAGGTATTTGAAAGTCTTATTCGGCCCTTAGGAACATTTTACCCCAACAAGTAATTGGTAGTTTGCGTGTTTCTTTTATCACCATCAGCTGCATGGGATCACAATCTCCTCTTCTACCACAACACCTTGATATCCACCTGTGCCCCCCCCCCACCCCGTTCTCCCCCTCGCTCCCCACCAGCAGTCGACCTCCGTGAAGGTATGGCGCTCCCGTCCACCTGGGACCGCTTCTACGCGGAGAAGCGCGCCGGCGACTTCCGCCACTTCGACTGGTTTTTCGGCTACAGCGCCGTCTCGGAGCAGCTGGTGCCGTTCGTGCGCGGCGGGGCCCGCGACGGAGCGTGCCACGTGTTGGACGTGGGCTGCGGCACGTCGGACTTTGGCGCGTCGCTCTACCGCGCCTCGCGCCTGCCCGTGCACGTGAGCTGCGTCGACTTCTCGCCTGTCGCTGTGGAGCTGATGGAACGCCAGTGGCGCGAGCGCCCGCCGGCGCCCGGACACCCGTCCTCCACGCTGCGCTTCATGCTGGCCGACGCGGCCCGCCTAGGCGGCCTTCCGGGCTTTGAGGACGGTGCCTTCGGCCTCGTGCTGGACAAGGGCACGGTGGACGCGGCAATCCGCGCCAACGACGGGGGGCGAGCGGCGCGCCGGCTGCTCGCCGAGGGGCTGCGCCTGCTGCGGCCCGGCTGCGGCGCCCTGCTGCAGTTCTCGGACGAAGACCCCGACGCGCGCTGCCCCTGGCTGGAGGAGGCGGCGGCGGTGGCCGGCGGGGGGCCAGGCCGCGTGGCCGTGACGGCCCGCGAGCTGGGAGAGTTTCGAGGCGTCGCATACTACATGTACGTGCTGCGCAAGCAGGAAGTTGACGATGACGAAGATGACGACGACGACGACGATGATAAGAAAAAGGACTGAGGAGGAGTGGTGCTGGTAGATGGAAGAGTGTCCGGTGCGGTACGATTACTCGGCATGTAATGATTAAACACCCCTCCCCAACTAATATACCTTGCAATTTGGGGTTGCAACATAATTTTGGTTCATGAATCGAATAGACATCAATTCTAGTCTTATTTTTACCATCCCGTTTCTTTAGTTTATTATGGACAGTTTTACTGGCTTCTTTAGTGTATATTAAATAAAAAAATATTAGTAAATTGTTAAACATTTCCTCTTGTAAAGCCTCTAGTGGCTGCAGGGTTCACATGAGTGAATTACTAAAAAAAATATACACTCATGGTTCGATGCATGTATCGGCATGTCATTCGGTGAATTGATGCATTGTTACATGCCTGGTAAATACTGTTGCATTAGTTATAAGTTTTGACCTAATGATAAGAGGGTGATTGTCAGTTAACCTAGGGGTGGCTTCATTAGTCCGCGAGCTGTTATCTGCTGAAACCTCGAGCGCTTGTTTATTTTTATATAAAATAATTCCAATGCTGCGGGTAATATATTCTCTTGCATTGGGGTGGCCTGCATAGCTACTGCAAAGCCATTTAAATCATTCCATTGTCCATAATTTAGTTTTTTTGGGTTAGATTGCGCAAATAAACATGTGTCGCACCCGACAGCCAATTAGTTAGGTTTGTCACGTAAACAGAACATGCCAATCCACAACATTTACAATCTGAGTACGACGTTTTGCCAGTAATTACAACTAACTTCATCAGGCGACAGCCAGATTTGTGGAGAAGTACTTCGATTTAATGACACATTTATATTTACGCAGTATGATCCAAAAAAACCTATATTATGGATGATAATGGGTGCGAAAGCCTACGTGTTAAACATTCCATTGTCGTTCATTTGCTTATTTTGCTTAATTGGCTGGTTGCATTCATACCAATTGCACCGACTGCTGTATCGATGCGAATGTAACTGCATCAGCCAACCCGGACTCCTTCCTCTTAACTCCAGTGCTTCCTGACAGTGGGCACTTGAATATTTGTCATGCCAGTTGATTTATCTACTGGCTCTGGACACCCACACAGTGAAAGAAAAAGTTGGTGTTACAATGGGGAATGAAGCTCATCACTGGTCATGATGATGAGGATTTGTAATTCACTCCAGTAGAGTTTTTGTAGTGTGTTTTGGCATAGTTTAAATGTCATTTTTCTATTGTTAAATGCCTCGATCGCAGTTTTTGTGTTATTGTCATTATTTTCACATGAGCACTTTTTGCTGGTCACTAACTCCTACTCTACATATATGTTGGACAATTTTTGTGATCTACCCAAAAAAAACCCACCAAAAAAGGTATTTTTCAAAAAAAGATACAATTTAATTGGCCTTATCTCAAGCTGCACCTTCCTGAAAAATGGTGTTGAAGACCCAGGTGTTTCTGGGTGAACATGTTACATTATTGTAAACGCATATCTTTGCTAACATGCATATTTTGTATGGTTTTTTTTTTAACACAAGACACCATCAGGTGTCCGCAGTGTAATTGCGCAGTTGCGCTTAGTTGAACAGAGGGGTGACTGCAATGTGTAACTTACAGTGCAGTCGCCGGATCCCACAAGCAGAGTCAACCTATAACATCCCCAGTCTCCATCAAAACATTTCTCCCCATGCACCACAAGCGTCAAACGATGTTGAAGTTTTAAATCGCAGCCCCTTGTCGATCCGTTGCTGGAGGAAGGCCTTCCAATGTTGTGTCGGTCATGGGGGTTGTTTGACCACACTTCACCACGCTGGTCAGTGGGGGCTCAGAACTGGTTGAGATATCGCTTACAAATGTCAAACTTGATTCACGAGAGTTTATCGCGCGGTGCTCTAACCACTTAACCACCATTCGATCACAGTTAAAGTTGTGCATGCGAAATTTGACTATTTGGCTTGTGGAACGAAAACTTGTGTCATGTGCATGTTTTTTTTTATATTTGACGGACATTTACAAACGAACACTGGCTGTTAACGTGCAAGAGCACACCACCGCTTTTTTGGGTATAAATGTTCAATCATGGAAACTGCAATGGTGTCAATACCCCCTTTGTAATTTTATATTATGCACTTACGTGAGGTTTTGTCGTGAGCTGTATTATTTTGTAATTGTCTACTTGAATTTAAAACTTTAATAAAGCATAGAGGAAATGCAAATCAAAAGGTGACCTCTTTTAAAGCATGCTCCGTGAGCAAGACATGGCAGGTGTTTAATATAAAATACATGTTACAGTAACGTCTGTATTTATGTGTACACGCACGTACATACACGACGACACGCTCGTGACACTGTAAACATACGGTACGACGGACAAAGCCTCGATACAAATCACTTGAAACTGGACTGAGCTCTGCATACGGCTGATAATAGTAACAATACTAGTTATATAATACCAATAACGTTAATGACTACGGTAAACATTAATACACTGGGTGTTCACTCCGCACCACACCCCAAACAACATCAACTATTGACCGACTTCCTTAGAGCTCTCTTTCACAAATGCTAACGCCTCTTCGAGAGAGCTGTCATTTCTCCAGAAGCAATTCTAAAATGTGTGGGGGGGTTTTACAAGTTTGTGAAAGAAGCAAGCTTTATATTTAACCCGGCCTTAAATGACTAGTAACTCGTGGTTAACCAGAGTAATCGGGGGTGGTATGACAGATAAAGTAAATACATGTAAATTTGGCTATAAAAAATGTTTTGTTTACCGACATGGAATGGGGGTGAAGACTAGGTAATGTGTTCTATTTTTTAGGGGGAATTGTTTTAAGTACTCTGCTTGCTTGGGTTGTTTGCTGTCACGTGGGCATTGAGACACTGACCCTCAAGACAGGAACAGCTAATAATGGGCACAAAGAGGATATTCGAGTTAATTGTATTGGTGAGTCACTCTTTAAATGAACAGCTGCCTTTGAATGAGGAACAAAGTTCAGTCTATAAATCAGCACAGAAGACATTTTCTGCTCTATTTGTTCATCTCCACGAGCCGCTCGTCAATACTTACTCTGGATCACTTGATTTGTGGTACATTATCTTATTATTTACACCTTCCACGATGAGAAAAACATTTTAAGAAATTTACCCTGTGCTTTCGATTAACAGTTTAAAAAGGTTTACCCAACCGTTACTTTTAACATTGCCGTTTGCGCGATCGACTCCCGGCGACGATGGGAGGATGCCCGTGTGGGTTTACAAGAGGCACGGGGAGACGGAGGCCTTCATCCAGCAGTGGATTGATCATGGCTGCTGACGACGGGCGAGGGGAAGGGCAGAGGTGGGGCCCTGATGCCCCCGTCTCTTCTTCCCCCATCGCCACTCTTGCTTCCAAGCACCTCAGTCCTCAGGGCCTCCTGGGTGAGGTGGGTCACCTGGGCCCTCAACTTTCCATGGCGGCTCCACGGGGCCCGATGCCGTCCCTGTACGTGGGAACAGGGCAGTACGTGTGTACCCGGGACAGGACACTTGTGGATGCACTCGCATAGCTGGGGGTACTGTAGCCGACATACGCCCAGGGCCAGATTAACACGGAGGCCCCCAGAGGCTGCAGTCCTGAAAAAAAACATGCGGGCTTCATATTGCTTGAAACAATACTGTAGCACAGTGGTACATCATATAGGTGCAGTAATTTAGTTATTAAAGACACAGAATTTCCTTGTGTGTTACTGCCAGTTTTGCAATTTGGATATCAAATTGGGTGGTGGTAAAACAGTAAAAGGGAAGGCATTTAATATAGAGCCCCCCCCCAAACTGAAACAACTCCAGACCCCATACAACTTAAACCGAGCCCTGAAACAAGTATACTTTACTAGGTTTAGACTTGTTCGACTGTTGTGAAAGGAGCGTGGAGCCTATAGTAATAGGTTTTTACCCTTTTAGCTGGCACAAAAACTGACACCTTTATACAAGGGGTCATGTTTGCAATAACCACAACACAAGCAGTCAAAAATGCAAACAAAAAGAAACAACTCTGATAATGATATGCACTGTCCTTGAATTTGATTGGTCCACACCCGAGACGGCTTTTCTTGAGTTGTACGCCTTATGGTGTCATCTGGTCCAATACCAGTGGAGACTAGGCTCTAAGAAAAGCCGTCTTGGGTGTGGACCAATCAAATTCAAGGACAGTGCATATCATCAGAGTTGTTTCTTTTTGTTTGCATTTTTGACTGCTTGCGGTGTGGTTATTGCAAACATGATCCCTTGTATAAAGGTGTCAGTTTTCGTGCCAGCTAGAAGGGTAAAAACCTATTACTATATCTTGTTACTGGCAAAGGAGGTCTCATAATGTAAAAGAGTGTGGAACCTTTCCCTTACTGAGGGCCAAAATGGACTTTGAAATACTTTTGGTGGGTAATGACACATTATCAGGGACCTCTATAATTTACTTTACCCTTGCAGTGACAGAAGTGACTGGGCGCACTGAATTTATAAACAGTTTTTGGCATTTTGGAAAATATTTCCCTTGTAACCGATTCGTGTGGCTAAAATGCTTGCAGTAGTGATGGATGAATATTATTCATATTGTTTCAATATTGTTTGCAGCCGTTTTAAAGTGGTAGGTCTCATGTAGCCACGGGATGTGTGAAATAAAGTTGTGGGCCTCATCCGGCCCATAGGATATAAGTTCCCTATCCCTGGATAAGATGTATTGTCAGGTGGTAGTGGGTAGTGCTTAGAGGTGGAATACAATGATGGTTTTGAGACTTTGTTCATGCTTTCTTAGGTAAATAAAGCATTGCAGTATGTTACTAAAGTACTTTTTCTTATTTCGTACGGCTGATGTAGATGCAGAACAAGAAGTACAATTTCACATTCAAGTGGTCAAGCCAGATAACTACAGCACTAATAATATAATTCACTGTGTAACAAAAATATATATTCCTGGATAGTAAGTGTTATTTTCTAATTGCTTATGCCTCAAAAGTACAGAAAATGGCTGTTATTCCCCGCAAACTTTGCTTTTGTGACCAGGACAGTGATATTTTGAAATTTACCATTTTCAGTGAGAAAACGTGGTGTGCATTTGCGTCATGCCTTCACGTAAAGTTCTGGTCACAAAAGCAAAGTTTGTGGGGAATAATAGCCATTGTATATACTTTTTAGGCATCAGCAATTAGAAAATAACACTTACTACCCAGGAACAAAAATCGTGTTACATCATGTAATGATCCAGTTGTGGGTTGACTTAAAGGGCTGTGTGTAGTTATGTATATATATACCAATGAACATCACTAGTGAGTGGTGGTGGCTCCATACATGGACGTTCTTGAATGCCAGA